TCTGTGATGTTACCAAAGGGAGAGAACTCTTCACGCCTGACATAACATCACTCTTCCCACTTCCCCTTTCCTTTACTTCTCATGAAAACTCAAAGGATTTGTCCAAAGTTCTCCTTTGAGTCCACTAGAATGGACCCCATTTTTGAGAGAAACGTGAGATGACATTCTGCTTCTGATTCAGTCAATGAATCAGTCAATAAAAAAAAAGCTCTCCACCTGATTCAAGGCTTCTCCAGAGACCCTGTTGATTCAGCATTCATCCTGAATTACTTGATTATGTGGTGCTCTTTAACAACAACAACAACAACAACAACAACAACAACAACAACAACAATTAATTTTATTTATACCCTGCCCTCCCCAGCCAAGGCCGGGCTCAGGGCAGCTAAGAAGCAATAATAAAAACCAATTGAATGAATATAACTTAAAAACAAGATTAAAATACATTAAGGGACTTCCGGGTTAGTGCCAACGGCTAATGGCGGACTCCCTCCGAGCTCCGGAGGGAATGGGCTCCGCAGGATCCGGGTCTTGCCGCTGCGGCGACGCGGGGACCATTAAAAATCACAGGCGAGGTAGCCTGTGAACCTGGTGACTCAGCGGGCACCATTTGCGCCCCCCGACCTGTGAAGGAGCCTTTTTAAAGGCTTCGGAACGGGGGCGGGGTGAGTGGCGCGATGCTGAGAGTCTACTGCTTCTCCTGCGGAGTGAAGCCGCATGCCATGGCCGGAGAGCGCTGACTTCTTCTTGTGAACAATTGGACTTTAAAGCAGCAACCTGTGAGTACTACGGAAATTGGATTTCTAAAGAAAAATTTTTTTTTTAATTAGGCACGTTCGGGGAAGATGCAAACAGGAAGTCCATCTCCCCGTCTTGTAAATAATCTAAAGCAAGGACTAGCTAACTAAAGTCGAGAGGATTTTTCCCCTTTTATTGGCTAAAAGATATTAATTGCATGATTGGCAGTTTAAAGCAATTTTACTGGAGGATAAGAGCTAATTTTTGGAGCTGAGGTGCCACCCCCCGTGACCCGGGAGTGATCCGTGAGAGAGCCTGTTGGAGAGATATTGAAGAGTTTGACAGAGTTTGTTAAATTAGCTGTCAAGACGGAAAAAGCGAACTTTGTTTTCTATTGTCTCTGCTGGTTATATTTGTTACAATTGGGCTATACTTTGTTGAAAACAAGGAAGAACTGACACAAATTAACTTGAATGTTGGATTTGAACTGGAATGAATACTAAGTAACCAAAATCCCTCTAGAGGGGGTTTTGGGACATTACAAGAATGGCTGAAGGAGGCAAAACTCAAGCTAAATTGGACAGAGTTTTCTTTCTCTTGGGAAAGTTACAAGGCCAAATTGATGTTTTGGCTACCAACGTTGCAACTCTGGACTTAACAGTAAATAAGTTCATTGAATTTGATAAGGATTTGATCCAGGAAGCCCAAGCAGCTGGACAAGAGGAGAACTTTGAGAACTTTGAGAGTGTGGAGAAAGAGACACATGTTGTTTTTGAGGAAAAGGAAGGAGGAGATATAATGTTGCAGATGGCAAAGGAGAGCCAGAGGCCTGACATGATGGTTATAAAGGAAAATAAGAACTGGATGATGAAAATCTGGTCTGAATTGGTGATTGAAGAATGGAGAGATCTCTCTATGTGGAGATCTGAAGACCCAAGGATTACAATTTGATTAAGGTGAAAGTGGGAGCTTTTGGGGACATTTGGATTTGAAAGGAGTAAGAAACAAGATTTGGGCTCCACTTTTAAACATGGAGGTCTGCTGGAAGAAACATTGTCCTCATCGGGCTAGAGCATCTCTGAGATCTGGTGTTTAACATTAAGGACTATCAAAAAAACCGGCAGAGAGGAACTGAGAGACAATTAAGAGCCTCGGACGTGAGATCCCCAGGCTGATAGTAGATTAAGACTGATGGACACTTGTGGGGATTGAAACCGGGAAAGGGGATGGGGTGGGGTTTGGGGATCCAAAGGGTGTATAATTATAATTCGTCTTTTTATTTTATTCTGTTCTGTTATTTGTATGAAAAATGGGGAATTCGTGCAAGGGAATTTTGGGTCAACTTTAGAAAAAAGGATTTAAGAATGAGTACTGATGTATAAATTTTGATGTTTATAAGGTAAAATCGGTTTTTTATAATGAATTAAACATAAAAAGGTTAAAAAATTGGGGATAAGAAGTTACTGAACTAACAATTTGAATTGGAATATAAGAAGGGGAGGTGTGGGGAAGTCAGGGAAATATGTTACTGAAAAATAAGGATTGTAAACTGTATATGTTTTTAATTTTTCTTTTTGGCTTTTTAATTTACTAAAATGGAAAATCTTCAATAAATAGCTATTTAAAAATAAATAAATAAATAAAATACAACATTAAAATGTTAAAATGCAGCCTCATCACAGGAGGAGAAAGGAAAAAAGAGAGGGAGGGAATCAAATTGACTCCAAGCCAAAGGCCAGGCAGAACAACTCTGTCTTACAGGCGCTGTGGAAAGAAATCAGATCCTGCAGGGCCCTGGTCACACCAGGCCAAAGCCAGTGTTTAAAAAACCCTGGCTCTGGTTGAGGCTAATGTAACTTCCTTTGGGCCCGGGACCTTTAGGGTGTTGCTATTTATGGACTTTACGGTCCTCCATGGGCCATACCGGGAGAGGCGGTCCTATAGGTACGAGGGTCCTAGGCCATGAAGGTCTTTAAAGGTCAAAACCAGCATCTGAAATCTGACATTGTACTCCACCGGGAGCCAGGAAGAGGAATAACCTGTTGGCTGTTCTTGAAGATGCTGAAGCTGATATTTCTAGACATATGTCACCTGTGTCAAGCATCTACAAAATCCCACAGGTATGGCTGCTTTGTGTTAAGACAGAGTTGTGCCTCTGCTATTGGCTTTTCATTCTTTCCTTTTTTTTGGACTCTCCCAAAGTAAGGGATGGAAACTGGAAGCAGGTTCACTCAACATTGTGCAAAATGTCTATGCCACTCACCACTCTTTTAAAACCATGACTGCTTGGTTTACAAGCATTCAAAACACTAGTTTTTTGAGGAATTAGCCGGAGTCTGCCTAGTCTAATTATTTGAGATGTGATTCAGTCCCCACAAAAATATTGACGAGCTCTGTGAGGCATTCGGGAAGACCTTCCTTCCCATTCTACACGGTCTAGCATTTAGTCTTGTTCTTTGGTTTACTTTGTGTGTGGGACTGTAGTTGTCACGGGCTGAATTTGTCTTGGAACCACAGCAAGCACTCACCTTCCTTTGCTCTGGCAAGTTATGAAAACACTTCCCTACTAGTCATGATAAAACCAATTCCCTTTTTACCAATGGCCCCAAATGTAGATGCCCAGAATCTGGATTGTCCAAATGCTCCTGAAACTTCAGATGATCTGGATTCCCATATTGCATGGAGAAAGTCGCGTTAAAACAATAAGAATAATTTATTTATACACCGTCCGTCCTGCTGGGTTCTCCAATCCACTCTGAGTGACTTCAGCAAAATATTAAAAGTACAATAATTCATCAATATAAAAGCTCTCTAAACAGCCCCTTGAATGTCTTCTCATAAGCTCCAGGACAAGTGTTTATTTCTTTACATCTGTAGGAGGCATTCCACAGCGGATGCCCTACTACGAGGAAGCCCTGCTATCTTCACTTCCTGCAGAGGAGCCAGGATATAATGACCCTGGAGCTTGGACCTCAGTGCAGACAAAGGATGGGTGGAGCACACTCTTCTGGTATACTGGCAAGCTGTTAAGGGCTTTAAAGGTGAACCCCAACACTTAATTGTGCCATGAAACGTACTGGAGCCATGTAGTCTTTCATGGACCGGATTGGTCTCAGCAGCTACTCCATATCAGTTCGAGCACACCAATCTGGATTAGATTACTTCCAGTCACTATCAAAGGTAGCCCCACATAGAAGGTGTTGCATGTTTCTAAGGGGTCTACTCAACACCAGCCCCGCCCCGCTACCAAGCACAGCACTTCTGTCTTGTCATGATTCAACCTCAATCATCTACCTGCATCCCATCATCCCCAACTCCTCCAGTACACTCACACAGGACCTTCAGCACTTTCACTGGTTCTGACTTAAAAGAGAGTTAGAGCTGGGTATCATGTGCATACTGATGAACACCCAGCCCAAACCACCAGATGATCTTTCCCAGCGGCTGCATGTAGATGTTGAAAAGCATGGGGGAGAGGACAGAAGCCTGAGGCACCCCACAAGTGAGAGCCCAGGGGTCTGAACACTCATTCCCCCCCACCTTCTGAACACAGCACAGGAGGAAGGAGTGGAACCACTGTATAACCCTCAGCTCCCAGCTCCGCTAGACGGTGCAGAAGGATGTCGTGGTCGATGGCATCAAAGGCCACTGAGAGCTCCAGCAGAACCAGGAAACACCTTTCACCTTTGTCCCTAGCACGCCGGAGATCATCGACCAGCACAACCAAGGCAGTTTCAGTCCCAATATGAGGCCTGATTCCCGATTGGAAGGGATCCAAATGGTCCCCATCCTCCAGGCATGCCTGGAGTTCTTCAGCAACCACCTGCTCAATCACATGAATTTCTTCATGGGAAGCTAGACGCCTCTTGGAAGAGAAGCTGTTTCCACATTTCTAGACACTTCATGCCCTGTACAGTGGTACCTCAGGTTACAGACGCTTCAGGTTACAGACTCCACTAACCCAGAAATAATACCTCGGGTTAAGAACTTTGCTTCAGGGTGAGAAAAGAAATCGTGAGGCAGCAACATGGCAGCAGCGGGAGGCCCCATTAGCTAAAGTGGTGCTTCAGGTTAAGAACAGTTTCAAGTTAAGAATGGACCTCCAGAATGAATTAAGTTCGTAACGTGAGGTGCCACTGTATGAGTTCTTTGATGGTGGATAAGACCTGCCCTCCTTCTGAAGTTCTTTCCACATTCAAAGCACTGATAGGGTTTCTTCCCTGTATGAATTCTTTGATGCAAAGTGAGTTTGTCCTTCCGACTGAAGTTCTTCTCACATTCCGAGCACTGATAGGGTTTCTCCCCTGTATGAATTCTGTGATGGGAAGTGAGCTGGGTGCTCTTACTGAAGCTCTCTCCACATTCAAAGCACTGAAAGGGTTTCTCCCCTGTATGAATTCTTTGGTGGGAAGTGAGATGGGTGCTCCGACTGAAGCTCTTCCCACATTCCAAGCACTTATAAGGTTTTTCCCCTGTATGAATTCTTTGATGCGAAGTGAGACTGTCCTTCCGACTGAAGCTCTTCCGACATTCTGAGCACTGATAGGGTTTCTCCTCTGTATGAATTCTTTGATGGGAAGTGAGATGGGTGCTCCGACTGAAGCTCTTCCCACATTCCAAGCACTTATAAGGTTTTTCCCCTGTATGAATTCTTTGATGCAAAGTGAGTTTGCCCTTCCGACTAAAGCTCTTCCTACATTCCAAGCACTGATAGGGTTTCTCCTCTGTATGAATTCTTTGATGGGAAGTGAGACTGTAACTGTGACTGAAGCTCTTTCCACATTCAAAGCACTGATAGGGTTTCTCTTCAGTATGAATTCTTTGATGGGAAGTGAGATGGGTGCTCTGACTGAAGCTCTTCCCACATTCCAAGCACTGATAGGGTTTCTCCCCTGTATGAATTATTTGATGCAAAGTGAGACTGTCCTTTCGACTGAAGCTCTTCCTACATTCCAAGCACTGATAGGGTTTCTCCTCTGTATGAATTCTTTGATGGGAAGTGAGACTGTAACTGTGACTGAAGCTCTCTCCACATTCAAAGCACTGATAGGGTTTCTCTCCTGTATGAATTCTTTGGTGGGAAGCGAGTTTGTCCTTCCGACTGAAGCTCCTTCCACATTCAAAGCACTGATAGGGTTTCTCTCCTGTATGAATTCTTTGGTGGGAAGTGAGACTGTCCTTCCGACTGAAGCTCTTTCCACATTCAAAGCACTGATAGGATTTCTCTCCCGTATGAATTATTTGGTGGGAAGTGAGACTGTCCTTCCGACTGAAGCTCTTTCCACATTCCAAGCACTGGTAAGGTTTCTCTCCTGTATGTATTATTTTGTGGGAAGTGAGATTCCCACTCTGACGAAACCTCTTTCCACATTCCAAGCACTGATAGGGTTTCTCCTCTGTATGAATTCTTCGATGGGAAGTGAGACTGTAACTCTGACTGAAGCTCTCTCCACATTCAAAGCACTGATAGGGTTTCTCCCCTGTATGAATTCTTTGATGGGAAGTGAGACTGTCCTTCCGACTGAAGCTCTTTCCACATTCCAAGCACTGGTAAGGTTTCTCTCCTGTATGTATTCTTTTGTGGGAAGTGAGATTCCCACTCTGACGAAACCTCTTTCCACATTCCAAGCACTGATAGGGTTTCTCCTCTGTATGAATTCTTCGATGGGAAGTGAGACTGTAACTCTGACTGAAGCTCTCTCCACATTCCAAGCACTGATAGGGTTTCTCCCCTGTATGAATTCTTTGATGTGAAGTGAGACTGCCCTTCCGACTGAAGCTCTTCCCACATTCTGAGCACTGATAGCCTTCCTTCCCGCTTTGAGTTCTTTGGTGGGAACGGGAACTCTGACTGGAGCTCTCTCCATACTCCCAATTTTGATTTGGCTTCTCCACTGTGTGGATTTTGTCATGGTCTCCCCCATTCTTCATTTCCAATTCATCACCACCTACAACAAAGACAGAAACTAATTAGATCCTCAGGAAGAAATGGAGCCCCCAATTATTGAACAATGCTAATGAACATTTGTCAAAGAGGAAGAACAGAAGATGTGAGGTCTTTCTACAGAGGCCTTTGTCGACCAGCATTCACAGACGTATTTTTGAGAACCAGAGGTTCAGAAAGTCTGGCTCTTTTCTAGGACGGATTTTTGTTGCCACAATCATGAAATCCACTCCAACTCTAACATTGGTCTTCTCTTTAAAAAACGGGCAGAGGCTAAAACAGAAACCCAAACCTGACAGAAATTACCTCAACTTCCCTAAGAACTCTGTGTGTGAATGTTGCCTCCAAGTTGCTATGGAAAGGGTGACTGTCACTCCAGAAGGCCGTTTTTTCAGTTAGGTCTGGTCTCAACTGTCGAGTGAGAGAGAGGTTTTCTGTGAGAGCACCTGCTGCCTGTTTTATGCTGCTATGTGCCTCAGAAAAAGTCTGTAAAGTCTCATATAGATAGAAGCACTTGTAATTCCTTCTTCATACCTAATGTAGCAGCATTATTTGATGTTGAATTATTTTGGATTTCTGAGCTTATTGTCTTGAATAAAAAATGGAATAAATGTAGAAATAATCAAAATCAATACATAATAGATATAGATAGATATAAGCACATGCAAACGTGTTTTAGTATATCAAGTAATGTAATGTGTTCTGTATAAACTCTAAACAGAGAATCTTGTGGTGTCTTTTCTAGAATAAATAAAAGCTATGTTTTTCAAGGGTCAAACAACCCAGGGCAACCTCCACACATATAAATACCACAGAAAATGGGTTTGGGGCCCACAAAATCCAGAAAACCATGAATAATCCAGAAAGACAGGTGCAGAGTTGTAAAGTGACACGTTTTACCTCAGAAACTGACATTAACATTTTGACCTCTTTGCCAGTGTACTCTTAATTATCCTCTCAGAAACAATTTTTAAAGGCAGATTGAAAAGTAGAAAGAAATTTTTAGGATGCACATAGGAAGTTTTACACAGTGGAATAGGAGAATGAGAACAGTGTTATACAGATTTGAAATGATACAATGTATTGAGGCAGATGTCTTACTGCCAGAGAAATTCTTCACAATTTAGAGAAAGTTTATAAATTTAGAAGATGTCATCGCAATTTAATAAGAAACTTTTTTGGTCAAAGACATGAAGAAAAGAAAGATTGCCAGAGTCATGTGACAGAATTGTAACTATCATTGAAAAGTTAAAGCTGGCAGAATATTCTATGTCTGAAGAACAGAAAGGGAGCTATATTGTAGGATCTCCTGGGGGGGGGAATGTATGTATGGAATTTCAAAACTGATCTTATGATCCAACGGGGAGCTTTACCAAGAGCGTCCAGGATCCCACGATTCTCCTCCTTGACTTCCTTATGCAGAGTTCATTGCTTCTACTGCTGTGTGATGGAGCAGTAAGTTTTTTGACATTGGTAGGGCATTCAGGCCACGGCACTGGTATTAGACATTTTGAGCTGCCAATACATCGTGGTGGCCGGGGAGCTGTGATGTATTCCTAGCTCAAATTCCCTGCAGATGACAAAGGCGCAGGCAGGCAGGTGGTGGAGCCCAGAAAGGTGCTCACCTTCTCAATCTCCGCCTGCCTGTCTGCCTCCCCCCACCCCCAGGCTGAGCAAGCCCCAATACCTCTCTGGCTCCATCCCTCCATGTCCCCATCTCCCCTCCCCTGGAACTCACCAGATCTCTCTGAGAGCCCTAGAGAGGAACGCTCAGAGGTTGTGAGGAGGGATGCAGGAGACAACCTGACCAGGTCAACCGTCCATCTTCCCCCTTCCATCCCCGCTAGCTTTGCAGGATCCATCTCTTTCACCCTTCCTGAAGAGTCAAGGAGCCAAAACAAGCTGCAGGGTCCTGGGAGAGAGGAATAAGCAAAGGGAGCCTCAGAGGCCCTGCAGGGAAGAAGAAGAGAAGAAGATGAAGCGTTTGGATTTGATATCCCGCTTTATCACTACATAAGGGAGTCTCAAAGCGGCTAACATTCTCCTTTCCCTTCCTCCCCCACAACAAACACTCTGTGAGGTGAGTGGGGCTGAGATACTTCAGAGATGTGTGACTAGCCCAAGGTCACCTAGCAGCTGCATGTGGAGGAGCGGAGATGCGAACCCGGTTCACCAGATTACGAGTCTACCGCTTTTAACCACTGCGCCACACTGGCTCTCACTGGATTCTCCTGCCCCTGGAAAAGCACAAATGGGGCAGCCCCTTCCCAACAGAAACCCCATTTATAAACATTTCCAGTGGTTCCAATTTCCTCTGTTTACTCCTCTCCCCTCTTCGTAAGACCGGCATGGTCTGCACAGTCGTGACCTGAGAATAGATCCCATTGAACTCAGTGGGGCTTATGGAAAGAACTTGGGGCAAAAACCAGTCACCATCTTGTCCCCAAGCCTGAAGACTGCAACACCAGGCATGCTTATCTATGGTATCATAAGGCAAAAGTTCATAAAAGTTTTCATAGTCATAAAGAGCTGTTAACTGAAACTGACAACCAATTAAAATTAAAGGACTTTGAAGAAGTAAGAGAAAATGTAATAGACTGGTTACACTATTTACAACTAAATGAAACTTTTAAAAATCATGAAAAGAAAGGATTTAGTTATCAAATGTCAAGATTTCAGAGAGAAATACTAGAAGGTAGTATAAAACAGCTGTCAAAAATGAACGATCTGCTTTTGGAATGGGACACCAAAGAGGACCAGGTCAAATGCGTTATGATAAAACGGGCAAAGGATGTGGGACATAATAAATTAATGACGGACTGGCTTTGGAAGTTAGATTTGGAAGTTAGGCCACCGAGACCACATAACACCGGTCTTGAAAGAACTACACTGGCTCGCAGTACGTTTCCAAGCACAATTCAAAGTGTCGATGCTGACTTTTAAAGCCCTAAACGGCGTCGGCTCGCAGTACGTTTCCAAGCACAATTCAAAGTGTCGATGCTGACTTTTAAAGCACTAAACGGCCTCGGCCCAGTATACCTGAAGGAGTGTCTCCACCCCCATCGTTCTGCCCAGACACTGAGGTCCAGTGTCCTTCTGGCAGTTTCCTCCCTGTGAGAAGCCAAGTTACAGGGAACCAGGCATAGGGCCTTCTCTGTAGTGGCTCCTGCCCTGTGGAATGCTCTCCCACCAGATGTCAAAGAGAGAAACAACTACCAGACTTTTAGAAGATATCTTAAGGCAGCCCTGTTTAGGGAAGCTTTTAATGTTTAATAGATTATTGCATTTTAATATTCTGTTGGAAGCCACCCAGAGTGGATGGGGAAACCCAGCCAGATGGGCGGGGTATAAATAATAAATTATTATGATTATTATTATTGGTTTTAAATTTTCTGGTGTTTTGATGGTATTTGTCCCCGGTTAAATTAGCAAAAATGTACTTCTCACTTGCTGGATCAACACCTTGTTGTGGTGAGTGGGCTTGCACGTTCCTATGACCCTTGTGAGCGAAGCCATCGGGAATCTTGTAATCCCAACAGGATCGCCCTAGTACTTTACTAATAATAGTGAAAGTGATGCAGAGGGTGACTCTTCTGAATATTCCTTGTATACCAGTAGTATACCAGGAATCTTTACAACCCCAAGTAGCTGATTCCCCAAAGCATCTGCCCTGCAAGCAAAAGAAACCTCTGACAAGCACTTGAAGAAGCCCAACCTGGAAATAGGGCCCCATGTGCTTCCCCTTCTCAGAAGTCCCACCTGGCCCTGAGGGAACCAGATTCGCAGGAGAAACAGTTCCCCTCTCCTCTCCTCGGACAAGTGAAAGGAAGTCTCCCCTGCTGAAGAAATGACAGCCCTGCTTGCCTGGAATTCACATATTGCTGACCACGCTGCACTGATTCTCCCAGTCTCCTCGCTAGAACAGAGGAGCAGGAACATGGTGGCACAGCACCTTCTCCCTCGTCACAGAAGGAGACGCAGTTACAACCATCTCGAACCAATGTGAAGCTCTTGCTCCTGCAAAAATTACCCACAATGCAACTGTGTGACCTATCTTTTATCCTGGAATGTGGCTGGGTGGTCTGCATCCTGCAGAGATCCTTGTTTTAAAGACTTTGTCTCCCACCATTGCGTCATAATGATCCTGAAAACATGGACAGCGGATGAGCTGTTACTCAATGGATTTCATTTATTCTCAACTGGGGCAGATCTAGGGGTAAAGCGTGGAAGAGCGAAAGGGGGCCCGGGGGCCTTAGTCTCCACTACCCTACATGCCATTTCAAGCCCTCTCCCCTCATTCAAGTCATAAGCCAGGGCAGTGTTAATCCAATTCAGCCACCAGGCCCTGTTGGTAATTTACGCTGATGTGACCCCAATGAGGCAGAAATCTCAGATCAGAAACTTGTGGGTTGAAAGGGAAATTTATACACCTGAAATTATTTTGCTTAACCCAAAGGCATCTGTAGTTTGGAGAGTGGATCTCAATGCCAGATTGGGCCCTAATGATCATGCCCTTTATACACAGCACAAATGCTCTCCTCCCAACCGTGAAGCCAGTGGATTCCTCCTCACCCGTTGTTCCAAAGATCAGAAATCAAACTTTGCAGGCATCTGCTTGGCTCAAACAGCATTCAGGCTAAACCTCTACATCTTAAATGGTGCCCTTGAAAGTGACTATTCTCTCTGGCTCCAGAAGGAGAAGCAACCTTTTTCAGCCATGGGCCGATCCACCGTCCCTCAGGCCATGTGGTGGTCCGGGCTATATTTTGAATAAAGAAATAAAAATTCCTATGCCCCACAAATAACCCCGAGATGCATTTTA